GTCCTTCCTCAATGACATGTGCTTGCATGTGCATACATGAAAGTACAAAATTGTACATATATCAGTGAAATACACAGAAATGTACATATATCAGTGAAATACACATGATTGCCAGCTTTAGATGGATTTATAGACATGTACACTTAAATGATTAAATGATTACAACAGCATGAACTTTAATTATTTGGAAATACATTTCCACAGTTTATCAGACTCAAGAATGTAAGAGACTAGCTTTAGTTCTCTCAATCCCTTTTCTGCTCAGAAAATTTGACAATTTAAAATATACTTCCTTTTAAGTCTTAATCCTTATCAAGTGATACTTTGATGTGATATGACATTGTTATTACTATATCTTTGATCAGGCATTTAATAGATATGTATGTATGATTAATGAAATTTAAATTTAAGAAATTAGGAACTAGCCTTTTTATATTGACAACATATATTGTAGAGGCAGTTTCTGTGACTGAACAGCACATAAAACACACACACACATGCACCAGAAATGATTCCAACAGCTTAAGCAGAAGGTACTTTTAGATTACTCTGCTTGAACTGATCCTATTGTTAAAGGATTTCATGCCTTTCAACATTTAGTTTTTATTTCAGTTTGCTTTTTTACATCTTTCAATTTTATGTTATAACTCTATATTAACTTTATCATTTTATTCCTGACTCATGCTCCAAAATGCTTTGCTGGTTATAGTAATGGATATTTTATTGGATTGTAGTTCTTACAGGAAATAAACTGATAAATCTTAAGTGTACTTAAATTGTTTTCACAGTAAAGCAGAATTACTTAGTAAAATTCATAAGAGAATATAGGCAGGATGTACACCAAGAGCAGTTTTATTATCATACTAGCTGTATAGTAACTATGCATTTCGTATGTGTCCTTGCATATATGAAATGGGAGCAGCAGTACCACTTGTAGGCTTTTCCAGAGTCAGAATATCTTTATGGAAAGTACACCTGGGTTTGGAGACAGATAAAGTTTTCCAACTTGCCTGTTTCACTTAATAGCCTGTGTGACCTTTAGCAACTGATTTCAACTTCCTAAGTGCCAGTTTCCTGTGCTTTTGAAAAGAGACAAAAACAGACATAGTGCATTCTTGAGAGGATTCATATAAATTACTTGGTACAGTACCTGCCATATAACTATATTCTGTTAATGGCATCTATTATTGTTAGTAATAGTTGTAGTGGTAAAGATTACAGAGGTAGAGGGAAATGTGAATATAAGTAACTACTCTTAGTAAGTTTGTAAACTATGCATGTTTTCTTTGGTTTATATGCACTCATTTGTGGTAGCAGGCTTTTATTATACAGATGTTATATTACTCTTAATGTCAGATGAAATTATTTGGAAATTTAGAGAGAAAATCATTATATATTTTTTAAATAATATAGCAGTATTATGTAAAATTCACATCTTCCACATATTCAAGTCAGATTGGTCAGCAGTGTAAAAACAGCAAATATAAATAATGAAATTCCTCTTTTTCATCCCATTTGGTTACATTTTTCCACAGAATATGCTAGTTATTTTTCTTTTAGTTAATTCTAAGCACACATGTTTTATGAATCTGAATTAAGAAAAAAGGGTGTATTTTGTTAAGAATTATTGATACTGTCATTGCTTGGAAAGGAAAATTTAAGCATTTAGATATTTTGTTTGGGGTATAGAATTATTTATAAAGTGTATCTACCAAAAGTTGAGTTGTTTTAATACTCCTCTATCCGTCTGAGAGGGATTAGAAGAAGGTATTGCAATGTTTGCTTACATAGGAAAATACTGAAAGAAAGCCACTTAAATCACATGTATGTGTAAATTTATTGATGGTCCAGAAAAATAAAGTTTCATGTACTTCAATTGTTCCTCTTTTCCAGGTTGCTTCCTTCTAATTTTGTCTTTTATACAAGGTGAAAAGAAGTATCTAAATAAGTTCTGTTGTAATTTAGTTAAAATATTCTTATGGCCTTTCACTGTAAAATAATACTTCAAAAATTAAGGTAACTCTAAAATCCTTTGATGTAGAATTCTATCCTTTGTGGCATGGACTTGATTTACCACTCTAGTCTCATTTCGCACTATTGTCCCTTTCATTGTCTTTCCTTAGGCAAGTTTGAACTAGTAGCTGTTTATACATATCTTTGTCAGGGTCTCTCTGACTTTGAAATATTTGCAAATGTCATTGCCTGAGAAAGACCCCTATCCCTTCCACCCCAAGTGGCTAATAATAATTCATGTTTCTCATCTTAGTTGGGACGTCAGTAGCTTCTGCATTCTAGTTATTTAACTCTGTGTTTCCTCTCCAACACATACACATATCTCCAGCTTCTCTATAGTACCTTTACCTTATATAATGAGTACTAATTGTTTTTGATTTCTCTATCTTTCCACACTGGAAGTTTTGTTTTTTTTTTTTTTTATAAAAGAAGCTATTTTTCCCCCCTTCATGTTCCCTGTACCTTGAACAACACCCATAATGTGCATTTAATAAAAATTATAGATGAATTAAGGTGTGCAAATACATATGCATCAGAAAGGTGAAATGTCTATTTCTCTATACTGAAATAAATCAATTTTAATCAAAATGTTTATTGTGTCAAATCAGTGTGGAAATGAAAATATGATGCTTTGTTTCTATTCCTCTATTATATATATAAATATACATATATAGGCAATTAGTATATATTCATTTCTTACATAAGAAATAAAAATTATCTGCAGTTCCATCATCTAGTAATAGTTATTTTTGTTGTATATTTTCTATTTTGTTATCTATAATACTCTTGTTATAATATATTAAATTTGTCGATCCATATATTTCCATCTGTCTTTCAGAAATTCAAAAGACTCATTAAGACTTATCTCCCAACAACTATATAGTCTTTATTTAACTCTGTTATAGAAATTATCATAAAGTTCCATAAATGTTCTTCCTACTAAATAAACTTACACTGAATTATTTAATTCTTAATTTTGTGTACCTAAGTCAATTGGAAACATTTAATTTACTCTCCACATTTGAATATGGCATACAAGTGTATACATAATAAATAATTCAAATATGGTATATTTGTTGTGGAAATGCCTGCAAAAGGGAGTAGCAGTGAATTTTTCATTAGAAATGTCTGTGCTTTTTTCTTTTAAAACCTCTGAAGATAGCTATTCTTTATTTAGGGTTTATTTGTTTTGCTTTTATTAGGCTTTTGGTTAATGAAGCTTTTCGAGTTTTTCATTTATCTTGATTTAAATTTCCTTAGTCTTAAAACTCAGGCCAATGGACCAGAGTTTACCAGTCCTTTTCAACTCCTATCTTCAGAGTGGAAGCCCTTGAAAATAAAAAAATGTGGGGAAAGCATAATGGGAGTATTTGCTATCTATTCTTCCCCACTGTATGCATTAGAGTGTAGTTTCTGATTCATATACAAACATTTATATACCTACAGATTTATAACTTATTTTTCTAATACTTAGGACTCCAACCCATTTCAAAAATTTTTCTAAACAACCATTCACTGAGAACAAATGTTATTTGTTCCTTTACCTGCTACTACCTTTTTGCTCTCTTCCCAGTTCCAAAATAAGTCTAAATAAACACAACTTGTTATGTCTTGTTTTAAATTTATTTTGGAAAATGTGGCCACATTTTCACTTATCCTTTTCAAACAATTAAAACCTTCCCTTTTTACATTATATCTTCTTGAGTTATCTAATCTCCATTTTCATTTTTGTCTGAATAGCAGCACTAGAAGTTTTGTAATAGGGAAGTTAGAAGGTTGGGACATTAATAGTCCATAAAATATTTATTTTATATATTTCAGTGTCAAATTATGTTTACCTAAATTATGTATGTACTTTGATAAACAGCTTGGATAACTTGCATATCTCAGGAAGAATTTAAAGCAAAGAGGGTGAACGGAGAGGGGAAGGGAGGGGTGGCAGAGGGGAGGAGAGGAAGAGAGGAAACAAGTTTTGGTAGTGAGGTTTGTGATGACCACTGTCTCTCCCTGGAAGAAGTTAAATGATGAGTTAAATGTTTTTATCATTAAAATATTATACAACTATTTTATTGACCAAGTAAGAGAAACAAATTCTCCTTTAAAGCAACATAAGGCAAAAACAGAATCTAGTGGAATCACGTGAACTTCTTGGGAAACTTAAGTTACTTAAACTTTGTAAACTGTATTGTTCTCCTTCAAAATGGGTGGTAATAGTAGTAAAACTCCCAAGATGAGATGTGATCATGTGAGTACAGCACTCCCAGCTGTGCCAGACACACAATGAACACATTACAATAATTATGCTCACGATCTCCTTTTAAGTGATACATTTAGTAATAAGAGGACCCCAGCCAGAGGCCCAGTCACATTAATCAAAATTAGTACATTTGCATTTGAATTATGAAATCCCAGACATCCTTCATGTGTTATGTCCCTTAGTTATAACAGGATTGGAGTCATGTCAGTTCCCTTAAACAACAGACTTCTAAATGTGTAGATTCCAGAAGGAGACAAGAAGCAAAAAAATAAAGATAAAAAAATATAAACATGCTAAATGGAACACACTGGATGGTATTATTTATTAAAAATGTTTTGGATTTTAAATGTAAATGCTCTGAAAAGAGATCCGTAAAATCCTATCAATTTAATTTACCAAACCGAACAAAACACAACAGCTAACAAAAACAGTATAATCATTTGATCTCACATTTAAGCAAATCATGTCTCTAGCATTCAACCACGATCCTGACTCAGTGGTTCCTATACTAAAAGAAAAGATGCCAAAGATGCAGTCATTATGACCTGAAATTTAAAGCTCTAAATGTTTAAGCTGATAAGTAAAGCACCGCCAGAATGAAGTATGCACACAAAGAATCATTAATTGTACAGTAACCAAACTTTAATTAGTGGGGAATATTAGTGTAGAAGCACATGACTCACCAACAATGTGTTTTTGGTTTTGCTTTTTTTTTTTTTTTTTTTTGCAGGACAAAGTTCAGCATTTACAGAAGGCTTTTGCTTCAAGAGTAGATAAATCCACACAAACTGAACTTCTAGGCTATGATGTAAGTAGCTATATAAAACCATTTTTATCTTTTTTATTGGTATTCAGACCTCCACAGCTTATTTACTTCTGCTGGTGCTGTGCCCATGCATTGATTTAATAGGATTTAGTGGTTCCCCATTGATCTTTTGCTCTTAAATAATCCCCAAATACCTTCTGGGACTGAAACAGATAATTACAGGCACCGACTAGCGTACCAGTGTCTTATTAATTTCTTTAAACCAACAACTCTCATACAGTCTTTTGAATTAGTGAATTTGCAGACATGTGGAAGAGACATATTAGAATACTAGGACAATTTATTTTGAAGAGAGTACTAACTTATTAACTGTTTGATAAAGTTACTATGTTTGCAATCACTAAGGGCCAAGCATATCATTTTTACATTCTGGCACATAAAAGGAAACACAGCTTTGCAGAGAAATTTACAATACTATTTTAGCCCTTGGGCTTTGGTGCAGGTTGCAGAAAGTAATTTAATTGAAAGTTAGCATTTTGTTCTCAGTGTGAAATACTTGTTGAACTGTCAAAATAGGATTATAAAACATGTTTTAATACAAGATGGCTTCTAGTAACACTAAATGATTTTTGACAACTTTGATTCAAATACCTATCTTAAATAAAGCAATGAAGTTTTCACGTTGCCTAAGTTCATGACTTTAAATTTCCTTTTGATAGAAACATAAGGGAATTATCTTCTGTATCTTGTATCTAACATTTGTGAGAAATCTCTTTTTTAAAAAAATGTATTATTTTTACCACTTTATTGACAAGTATTAGAAGAGAGAATTTTAAGTTTGATGAAGGGGTATAATGGTAAAATGTATGTCTATCTGCATGTCCTTGTGTTTATAACATAAATATGATGTTACCATTGTGTTGCCTTTCAAAGTATATTAACATATTTAACATAAAGCTGTCTCTATGAGGATATAAACCAAAGTTTTCAATTCCAGAAAAAATTGTTTTCATTACTTTTTCAATTTAAAAGTACATTATTTTTTAATTTAAAAAAACATTAAAAGCTATGCTTTTCTTTTGTGTTATTCTCTTACATTCATTTAATGTTTATTCTAGATACCTAAATATTCTAGATATCAATATTCTGACTATAATACTTCTTGAATACCAGTGCTATATGTTATTTAAATGATATTAATATTTAATATTTTTTAAAATAAATGGTTTTTATTAAGTTGAAATGGATTTTACCACAATAATTCAATAGGGGAGGTAGCTAAGTTGTAGCTACTAGCAATTTCCTATGCATTTTAATGCATATCTATGACCCATACTTCTCTTGTTTTTACAAAATTTCTTATATCAATGCTATTTAGTTCTCCAGACATGTAAATAAAAATTTAAAAAGCCATGATCATAGTTAATTCTTCATCATTCATAGCTTCTTTTCATATCTGACAGTGAGAGCTTAATGTATTTTACTGGTTAAAGAGTAATAATTTTTTGGTAGTGAGTCCTTAAAGGATCACCTTGTACAAGTTTCTGATATGATTTGGGTAGTCATTAACATAGAATGATATGTTCTGAAGATTTCATACTTTATACTTCCTGGTGATATATTGTAGGACAATCATCAGAATCAGCAAATTAATTACCAAAAATATGCATCTAGAACCCTATGCCAGTAACCAGATGTAAGTTTTGTAATAGATTTTAGGGCAATTTGTATTGAAAAAACTGGGGAGGGAAATACTTTAAATAAACAAAATAGAAATAAGTAAAGCATTTTAAATGTGATAAATTGTGTGACTATTTGGAATATTATTCATCAATAGTGTAACTTTTTTCATGACTGAAATATATTTTCTATACTTTTCAATATCTATTTATAACTCTATTTTTACATTCTTATATTCAATAAGAATCATTATCCTTTGACTTTAACATTTCGCTCACATTTTCTCAGGAAATATAATTTGACATTTTAATTTTTCACAAATATATATATACCAACTGTATGCTATATTTATTTGTAATTTGCAATAGTATTTATCAGAAAAAATGAGAAATCTTATAGAAATCATGCACATTATGGATGATTTTTTTGTCTCTTATTTTTTTTCTAAAACTCAATATTCGCCACAAATTGTTCTTTACAGATCATTATGGATCATGTTTTAGTGATATGAATGTCAGTATATAAGGGACTACAAGTATCTATTAATATAATTTCCTTGGGAAGACAGCTGTTACTACACATTTTGCTTAAGAAAGGAAATAGAATCCCCAGAAGATACTAATTATAATGAAAACTATTAAAATAAATTTCCAAATATCCACTACAGTGAATAAGTTCAAAGGTTTGTACAATAAACAACTTCTAGCCTGTAACAGATTTATCAGGAGACTTGAAACTAATGTTAGAGTACAGTGTGCTCTGATTTCTAATGCACATGGCAAGAATTATTTAAAAGTAAATTCAGGGCTTCCCTGGTGGCACAGTGGTTGAGAGTCCACCTGCCGATGCAGGGGACACGGGTTCTTGTCCCGGTCCGGGAAGATCCCACATGCTGCAGAGCGGCTGGGCCCGTGAGCCATGGCCGCTGAGCCTGCGCGTCCGGAGCCTGTGCTCCGCAACGGGAGAGGCCACAACAGTGAGAGGCCCGCGTACCGCAAAAAAAAAAAAAAAAAAAAGAAAAGAAAAAAAAAAGTAAATTCAGAGTATCTCAGCAAGGGCCTGTAAACACAATAGTTCTTGTGATGAGGGAGATTGTTAAATAAATGATGAATGTGTCTTAAATAATCAATGCCAGTTTAACCTCTTTCACCCTCCTCTGTCTTCACAGGCTTAGTTCATTGAAAGATCAAAGAATAATTTCTTAGGTGTCACTTGAGTTATTAAAACTGGAGAGAATATGAATAGATTTTGTCAGGTAGCAATGTTGCCAATTACAAGATTACATTAAGAGGTAGGCAAGATTCTTCTGATTACACCAGTTGTATAAGTAGATGCTTCAACAAAGCACATATGCTGCCTATAAACACTTTATAGTTTGAACTACTGCAAATAACATTTTGGTTAAAGTAATTGAGCATGAACAACCAAAATGCTATATTCTGGCAGTGAGAAAATTCAGATCGTTTTACTAATTTGACACGTTTATGGACAGTTTTTTAACTTCCTTTTGATGGTCTACAGAAGATTGTCATTTTAAATGTGGCTGATTGACTTTGGGTGTAAATTTTCCTTTCAATTAGTGCCTGAACTTGACTCAGAACTGTCACAGGATCTCTAGATTACTCTTAGAGGCAGAAGCACTAAAGTTTTAAGAAGATCTTCCTTTCATTAGTATATGTTTTACACTTATATTTAAAAAGAAGTGTTTAGTTGAACTAGGAATGCTTTGTTCATATTTTCTTTAAGAGTTTTAAAGTTACCAGGTATTTCATCAAATACTAGTAATCACTGTTAGTCTAAATATCATTAATGGTTTTCATTTGACTATTTAAAATCAACCGAATTGTGACATCACACATTTTGTCTGTCATGTATGAGTGAAGCATAAATCAGTTTAGAAATGTATGCTCACAGCACTGTGTGTTCTCCAAATATTTTAACGCATTTTCCAAATGGTGGGATTTACTTTGTAAATGCAGTTTTCTACTTAAGTAGTTGCATTATGAATACACACTTTGAAAAACTCAAAACAATCACCTATGTATTCTCAATTTATGCTATTTTTCTTAGATTTAATTTTGGATCCCTCCCGGCACAGTTAGTAGTGTGCAGGGAGTTCTAACAAATATGAAATAGTTCTTCATGTAAGGAATAAAAGTAATTAGTTTTTACTGTAATTGTTTTATTAGCTATTAGAGCAGGAGAATATTTTGTGTTATGCTAACACATTATGTCAGCTTGTGGGTTAAGCCCAATGCTAAGAATTGAATAACTATCAGTTAGGCTCCCTCATCCAGCTGCTAATAAACTGTAGTTTCTTAAACCTATTTTGGATCCATTCGTTGCTATCATCTTTCTTAAATTCAGTGCTTATCCTGATCAAATATCAGTGTGCCCCAGTGTTTAGTAGATGAGTACCTTTCCCCAGTATGCTTCATTCTTTAATATTTACTTATCTCAGGTATTTCTGTTAATTTTTACAAGTTAAAAAAATCAGATTTCAAAACTGAATGATATATTCTAGATTTTCGTTTGAACTACAGTTTTTCATATTACATTAAGGGTAACTTTCATATAGGAACATTGATGAAAAACACTGGAAACATCGACTGCCACAGGTGCTTGTTAATATTTAATGGAGGAATCAGCTTATCTTTTGGTGAAATTCTAAGGGCATCACTTTTGAAGATTCATACATGCATCGTTCAACAAATATTACTAAGTGCTTACTGGAAACCAGGCCTTGTTCTAGGTACTTGAGATACATCCTTTAACCAAACAACAAATAATCCCGCAGGGAGCTTGCACTTTATTATACTTAAAGTAAAAAATATAATAAATAAGTAAAGTGTGTATGTTAGAAGCTACTAATGCAACGTAAAAGGGAAAAATAACACAGGGAAAAGATAATTGTGAATGTAGGGATGTGGTCAGGGCTATGAACCAAAAATTTTAAATAGAGTGACCTGGGCAGGTCTGAGGATGAGGTGTGAGATGTGAGACTTGAAGGAGGTGAGGTGAAAAATCACCTTTAGCCAGAAATCCTTTTGTGATGTGCTCCTTGCAACTCCTCAAAGACCCTCAGTCAGAACAAATTGCTGTTATCTTGGCTGCAGGCCTAGAATAAGAATAGTTTGCTTCATTTAGAGGCCCTGCAATATGAAAAAAAAAAAAATGCATTCTGGACAATTAAACCCTAGAATCAGACCCAGTGCATCAAGAGACTCACATTAGGGGAGCCCGACCACCTGAGGGAACAGCCTGCTCAGCCTCTTTCGATTATATTCACTTAGGGGCACTGAGAAGAAAACTGTCGAATCGACTATACTATGTAAATTACATTTGCTTTTCTTCTTTCTTTT